CCGGAGTGGCAAATAGAGATGACTAAATTAAACCAGTCAATAATAAATCTATCTAGTAGAACAATGGTTCCCTAACTATTTTATGTCAATAGGGTCATCTATTGGTATGTGGGTTACGTTACCACAAAATTATGACGACACGATTTAACACTCATCTAAACAGTATTAATATGGCGATTTAAATTAATTAAGTGTTTTAAACGGGAAGAAGGAATTTCGAGAACAGAATTCTAGACAGAGGGAGACACCAGACTACAGACAGTATTTCCTATTAATACGAACGACCAGAAATCAAGTTAATGAAAATGATTGCTGATAGGCTGGATTGTCCGATACACTGGGTGGAATTAGCTATACTATAGCTATATAATAGTTAATAACCTTATTAACTATACTAATATAGTACATATTTCTCAGGAAGAGACGACTCTAGCAGGAATGGTGTTGCCATACTTTTGCCGTCCAAAATGAACAAGTTTGTCCTCGGATACAATCCCGTATCTGATCGAATCATCAGCATGAAGCTAAATACTAAACCATGCCTTCTTAATATCGTGCAAATTTACGCTCCTACAGCACAAGCTTCAGATGAGGATATCAATGAATTCTATGGGAACCTAGAGAAGACACTAGATAACATACCTAGCCGGCAGATCACAATCTTACTCGGCGACTGGAATGCAAAGGTTGGCAACGCGGGGCTGGATCACACCATCGGAGACGCGATCGGCAAATATGGTCTAGGCATTGGAAATGAGCGTGGCCAAAAGCTCATCGAGTTTTGTATTGGTAGGAAGCTAAGTGTCATGAATACTTACTTTAAACATCACCATAGACGCCTCTACACCTGGAGATCTCCAGGCGATCGTTATAGAAATCAAATCGACTACATTATGATAAATACTCGCTGGAGATCTTCCATTACAAATGTGAAGACATTTCCAGGTGCCGAATGTGGTTCCGACCATATGCTGCTGGTCGCTTACCTATCACTGCGCCTAAAAGCGACGAAAGCACACTCACGACCACCACCCACAACTTTGAACCCTATTGAGCGCCTACACTTCCAGAACGCGATCGAAGACAAACTCACTGAAAACCCAACACCTCCAACGTCTAACGCTGATACTCTCTGGATTGATCTGGAAAAGAGAATCCGTGAGTCTCTTTCTGAGATTGCATCGAAGCGAAAAAAGGACTGTAAGAAAACAGCTTGGATAACGGACCACACATGGGAACTCATCCAGAAAAGGAAGGATATGAAAGTGAGAGGGCTACAAAACCATGACGTAATGAAGGAATATTCTGACCTTTGCCGAGTCATAAAAAAAGAGTGCCGTCGGGACAAAAATACCTTCATTACTAATATATGTCGCGAAGTGGAAACCCATGCTATGAAACAACAGACATCAGATCTATTTAAGAAGGTCCGCCTATTAAGTAGACAATTCAAGCCCAAATCATGGGTCATCGAAGACATCGACGGGAGATCACTGCACGAGCTTGACGCAATAGCAGAGAGATGGCGCTGCTACTGTGAACATCTCTACAAGAAGCCCATCTCAATAGATCCTGAGATTACCCTACTAGACTGGCCTGTTCTGGACCTGGAACCCGACATTCTGCGGTCGGAGATTGTAGCAGCCATTGGAGCACTGAAAACTAAGAAAGCACCGGGTCCAGATCAAATAACAGCTGATGTGCTAAAAGCTCTAGGGGAAAAAGGTGTTGATACTTTTCACAATATCTGCAATCATGTATGGCGGAACGGTGAGTGGCCCAAGACTTGGACTCAGTCGATTATCCTTCCTTTACACAAGAAGGGTTCGACGAAAAAATGCGAGAATTATCGCACACTCGCCCTAATTTCACACGCTAGCAAAGTCCTGCTATACATTTTAAACAAACGGGTTCGTTATTACCTAGACTGGCAGATCCCACAAGAACAGGCCGGTTTTGTGAAGGGAAAAGGCACCCGTGAACAGATACTCAACATCAGGCAGATTGTGGAGAAGTGTTATGAATTCGACACACCAGTCGTGATGTGCTTCGTCGACTATAGCAAGGCATTTGATTGTGTCAGCTGGAGCTGTCTCTGGAGAGTGTTATCGGAACTGGGTGTACCTCGCCATTTAACTGCACTTCTGCAGTCATTATACAGTAGCAGTCAAGGAATGGTGAGGATTGATGGGACAACATCCAAAACATTCAGTTTTGAAAAAGGAGTTCGGCAAGGCTGTATTCTCTCGCCCATTCTGTTCAATATATACGGCGAATACATAATGAGGCACACCTGTGATGACTGGGATGGTGGCATCGCCGTCGGCGGACAAAAAATTTGTAATCTGCGTTACGCAGATGATACCACTCTACTAGCGTCAGATGAAGCAGAAATGTTCGCCTTATTGAATAGAATGGAGCGCATCAGCGGAGAACTGGGACTCTCTATAAACAGATCCAAAACGAAGATCATGGTTGTAGATCGCTCAGGCAAGCTTGAGCTCACTGGGACACTTGATCTGGAAGTAGTTGACAGCTTTATATACCTGGGCTCAGGCATTAGCAACAATGGCTCTTGCGAATCAGAGATACGAAGAAGAATTGGGATGGCAAAAGGAGCCATGGCACAGCTTCTAAAAGTATGGAAGGACAAGAACATCTCGTTAAAAACAAAGAGCAATCTTGTGCGCACAGTGGTGTTCTCCATATTTTTGTATGGCGCAGAGACGTGGACCCTGAAGAAGGCCGATCGTGACCGCATTGATGCCTTCGAGATGTGGTGTTGGCGAAAAATGCTAGGGATTCCTTGGACGGCACACCGCACCAATGTATCGATCCTCCAGGAGCTTAAGATCCAGACAAGGCTCTCTTCCATATGCCTCCGCAGGATTCTGGAGTTTTTTGGACACACTGCCAGAAGGGGTAATGATAACTTGGAAAAGTTACTAATCACTGGTAAGGTGGAAGGAAAGAGACCTAGAGGCAGAAGTCCGATACGCTGGACGGATCAGATTCGCACCACTCTCAACACTACAGTCCACGATGCTCTCCACTCGGCGGCAGATAGAAATAGATGGCGGAGAGTAATACGCAGTACACTGCTTCCACGAGGTGGTCACGACCCTCAGCACTGAGGAAACCGACGCGAGGAGGAGGAGGAGTACATAAGAAATTTTGTTACTTATACACTAACAATCTATGGACTATTATGGGTCTGAAATAAATAAATTTTAATTTAAACTTAATGTTGTGGGCGAGGGAGACACAAGACTACAGAGAGTATTTCCTATTACCTATACGAACGACATGAAATCAAGTTAATGTCGTGGGTGTCCAGGATTTTGAAAGTGATTTAGTTCCATGTTTGGAATCTTGCTCATCAAACAATCCTCCAATCAATGAATCGGTCTACAATAAAAATATTTGTAAAATAACAAATAAACGTTCCAGGGTACAAAAAATATCCTTGAATTAAAAACAAACAACGGCTGAATGACCGTCCCATTCTGGTTACTGGTTATAAATAGAACTACCTCTATTACTCCCCTGAGGATTGTAGGGGAGGGGTGAAATCTGAGAGTTCATAAAATTAACATTACCTACCTGCGAATTGAGTAATGAACTATTTATTTCGTGAAATTGAACGCAATAAAGAAACAAGCGATGAAAGAAATAAATGAATGAATGAATGACCCGTATATATGTAATGTATAAGAAAACTACATGACGAGACACACGAGAAACAGTAATGAAGCAACAATATCCTAATCAGAAAGTAGGTACCGAATATTATACGATACTTATAAACAAAGAACTTTTTTATGTCACGACAACAGGAACAACAACGTGGAAATGAAAACAAAATAGCTGGATGGTTGGCTAAAGCAAGCATCTCATCATTTAGCACTCATCGTCACAGTGCGCATCCTTCAATTACAGAAGACTGGTTACTAATATAATTACCTTATCTACCTTATGTGTAGTTTGTAGCAAAGATAAGATCATGAAATAGATATCAGAAATTCCTGAACAAAACCTAATTGAATTAAGATGCGGTTACAACGTTCACGAATAAAATAAAACTACGATATCAACTCTTTACTATGCAGGTCTATACCTACGTTCAATACGGCCCACGTCCAGTCTTTTTATTTTGGGCAGAGAAAGTCTTTTTATCTCGCCCTAGGTGGTGTAAGAAGGAGAGTCAGACTCTTATTGGTGAAAAATCTACCAGTTGCTTCTCCTGCTTCGGGCCGGGGCCGCGGTACATTATTTTGTAAACTTACTGTAACGCCAATTTCATTTTTCAGACAATATGTTTTATACCGCATTCTTACAAAAATCTTTTTTTTTTAATTTATCATTCTTTCACTCGAACCCGTACTTACCCATTGAAATGTATATACCTCATAAAGTAATTCTCACAACATGAAAAACTGTTACAAAAAACATACAGGGGAGAGGTCCGTACACTTTGTCTCCCGGAACTATAGAGTTTTTGAAAAAAAAAAGATATTAGAAACCGCAATGCCATTTATGAAAAACTGAAATGGTAAAAAAACTAATTTGTTCCAGAGAATACATTTACTTACCTAGTTTCAACAGAAAAAAAGTGGCTGTGCCATATCGACGGACAAACAAACAGACAAAATGAAAACGATTGCCAAAACTAAATAGGTAAATTTTATAAATAATTATTACTATACATTTAAACATACTGTTAAATTATTCCATGGGCATATTTTAGTACATGATGAATATGATGATGATATTTGTTTTCCGATGACATCGGTCAGGTGAGCTGGTTTTGAATATCAAATTCTCTGTCTTTGCTCACGTAGACGTAATCACCTAGTATTCAAAGTCCTATGAGTTTAAGATTAGGTTTATGTTGTCTGTGGTCTGTTGTCAGTCGGATGTCAATGTCATTAAGCCAGAATTGTTTGACGTTACTGTCGCTGGCGTCATAACCTATTTGTTATTTGTGTAATTTACCAAATTTTATTGGAAATATTGCTGAATATATATCAATTAATGTTTGAAGTTTAAAATAAGAGCATTAGTATTATATTAGGCGCATAAAATGGCGCCAATTGTGAAGAATTCATTAGATGGTAAGTATGTGAACAGTCACTCAAAATACAGTTGGATATGGATGGGAATTATAATTGTCGTGGTTTTTATTATGCATATTTACTGTTAATATGAGTAAATAAACGTAAGTAATTGAAAAAACTGATTAAAGTAAACACTATAATTGTATAGATATTTCTATTCGTTATTGCAGTTTTGTGATATTGCCATGTAAACATCGACATTATTTTGCTAATTACAGACACAGATTCAGGTTCTGATTCTGATAGTGGGTCAAGTGCTAGTCGTAGCAAGAGTCCCAGCCCTGCGCCTGGTAAAGAAGGCAGTCAATCAAGGTGAGGTCCTACTTTTAAAGCGTCAATAACAACTGTGACAGATTACCTAGGAATTGTGTTATGTTATATGCTTTGACAATCTTAATTACTAATTTTGCAAGAAAACATTAAAATAAATCTAGGCACTTATGAATAAACAGATTGCATACACATCTTGTTATTATAATTGTTCTTACATCTTTGTTTATTAAACATCTATGTATATCATACACAATACATGATAATCATTATTTACACAAATAATTAGGTTTTATAGATCTTAGTTAAAATACATCTTTATTACACCATAGTACTACACCAAGTAATTTGAAAAACCAGCCAGCCAGAAATGCCAGAGAGAATTTACAATGTTGCCAATATAAATGTACTTCTTATTACCAACAGGTCTATAGTTTCTCATAGACAAAGTAGTATTCTAAAGTAAACTGTCTTAACATTGATTTCAGATCAGTATCTCGAAGCCCAGCAAAGTCAGGAAGTGAATCTCCTAAATCCAACCGCTCTGCTAACTCCAGGAGATCTTCAAATGCATCCAGAAGCAAGTCTAATTCACCAGCACCATCCAACCGATCTCGGTCAGGATCTGCACAAAGCAACAAGTCTGGATCATCAAGATCAAATGCCTCTGGTAGCCCCAAACAAAGAGCTTCAAGGTCTAGAAGTGGTTCTCATAGATCTCGATCAGGATCAGCAAGTGGAAGGTCCCGGTCTGGTACCCCCAAAAGTGGTTCAGCTAGCCCAAAGTCAAGACCGCAGAGCCCAAAATCTGGTTCTCAGTCACCAAAGTCCAGATCTCAGAGTCCTAAGTCTCGTTCACAAACCCCAAAATCAAGGTCTCAAAGTCCAAAGTCTGGGGCTAAAAGTAGGTCAAGATCAAAGTCAGGCAGTGCAAGTCCTAAGAGTAGAAAGTCTAGATCCAGGTCTGGGAGCGCTTCTTCCAAGAGTCCGGCGAGATCTGATGCACATGACAGCAGATCTAACTCTCCAGGTCTTATGATTGATGATGCACAGACTAAGGAAAAGTCAAAAAGCCGGTCCAGGTAACTATTTTTGTATTATACTTAAGGTACTTTTAATCATAAAAATGGAAAAAAAACAGTATTAAACTTACAGTAAACAGAATTACAGTTGTAGTGTGGTCTTTGTTTTGGATTACCTAATAATGATAATGTAACTTCTTTCAGATCTGGATCAAGACAATCTAAGTCTAAAAGCCGTTCGCGATCACGGTCGAAAAGCTCTGAAGCTGATGTTGGTAAGTACATTTAAAAAAATATTTTATTTCGATATGTTTACTGAAGTGACACAATCATTCAAATAATTTCTTGCAAGTGCGACTAATATACACATTTACACAGATGGTTGTACTGTTTGTTGGCATAACTGTGTCATTTGTATTTTTTGTCTTTCACTACTTATTAAGTTCACAAAAAAAAAAAAAAAATTCAAAATAAATTACCGGATTGAGTAAAGCATTACTTAGGTGTTCAATGTTTTTAATTTACGTTCTCTTCTTGCTAATTTCAGGAGAAAAAAAGAAACGTGCTGTGCTCTCAGACTCGGAAAGCGATGGCGGAACCAAAGCTACGCCTAAACGCAAGAAGGCAGGTTCTGACAGCGGCTCCGACACCAGTGATAAACCCAAGAAGAAGTCCAAGAAAATTGTTGACTCTGATGATGATGAGGAAGGGAAGAAAGAAGATGGTGATGGTGGTAGGTTTTGTAAAAGTATTCATTATATAGAAAAACAAATATTTCCTCTTTATAATGTTAAAGTATAAGTAATAGTATAAATAAGAGAATAAACATGGTATAGGTTAGTTTTTCTTATTAGTATTAACTTATCAGTCATTTTTTATGTGATTGGTCTGCAAACAAGTAGTTAGACCATCTGATGGTATACAATCGGCGCCGCCCACGGACACCAGAGGCAACAACAGAGGTGTTAGTAGTGCGCTGCCGGATTTTTAGGGATTAGTATTAAGGTGTCGGAGGTTTGGGGATTGAGAGGGGAAGGGTTCATGATAGCGTCATATTATATGCTATATGTCAAATGTATAGATGTCATAATTCTCATTTCATGTTGTTACAGTTACGGCAGACGCGCTTTTCGGAGACGCGTCTGACATAAGTACAGAAGATGAAGGCGGGGCTGACAAGGCGTCAGAGAAGTCTCGGTCTCGCAGCCGGTCAAGGAGTCGCAGCCGCAGTCGAAGTCCTCAGGAGGCGAGGCCCTCCGGTGACGAGGCCAGGGCTAGTGGAGATGAGGTAAGAAGTACTAGAAGTCTTTCTTCTTGCCTTTAAGAAGGGTTTATCAAAGAACTATTTCAATCTATCATTTTGTTATTATCCATATCTATATATGTACAATACATTATGACAAATAGTGAACTACAGACAACAACTTTGGCAAGCAAGTACCTTGTTGATATACTTATAGGTATGTAAATCACAACGGTTATATTGTTGCCACATCTTATTTAAAACATTTGTATAAGCCACAAATTCGATCGTTATTTTTTATGTTGGATTAACTAATCGAGACATTCCTATTTAACAATAAGAATAATAATTAGTTTATTTACAAAAATCTAATTAAACTAAGCTGACTGTTAAACCTACAAAATGGAGAAACATTCTCGACCCATTTTAACACTTTTACAGCAAGAACCTCGTGAAAAACCGGAAGAAGAGGAAGAGGTGGAAATCCCGGAGACCAGGATCGATGTGGACATGCCCAAGATATGGACGGAGTTGGGCAAGGAGCTGCATTTCGTGAAACTGCCCAACTTCTTGTCTGTGGAGACAAGGCCCTACGATCCTAATACTTATGAAGATGAAATTGATGAGGAAGAAACCCTCGATGAGGAAGGTCGTGCCAGGTGAGAATACTTCAGTAAGAGGTGTAGAAAGATTATTATTGTTAAATGTATTGCTAGCTTCCGCCCGCGGCTTCGCCCGCCTGGTATGTTGATAAAGAGCAGCCTATGTGTACAAAATTTTGTACAAAATCGGTTTTGCTGATTTAGCGTTAAAGAATAATAAATACACATTCCTTGCATTCATTCTCACAAACTTTCACATTTACAGTAGAATGGTATAATGCGGTGTTATAATACAGTATTTAATAATTATCCCAAAGAAACTAACAACTGTCTCATGGATTCGTTCGTAAGTGCGTCTGATGAGCTCTCTCTTGTTTTGGGATCCAAGTATTATTGTGATTTTGTTACGGTTTTTCGAAAACTTCTCAGTAGCATTTAGCATGGTGCAGTTAGCATGGAGTCTGCTTCTTTGCAAGCATGACCGCATTGCAGAAAGAGAAGACGGCGACGACACAACAACATTTACAAGTGTGGGAGAGCCATGCTTCGGCACGAATGGGTCTGCTGGACCCCAGTGATACCACGGCCACACAGAAAACCGGCGACAAAAATCGACCACAGCGTGGCCCTATCCTTACCCTGCCCCTCCCAGTCCCTAAATCTCCAAAACCCTAATCACTGAAAGGTCGGCAACGCACGCCTAACTCCTCCGTTGCGGGTGTCCATGGGCGGCGCTGATTGCTTACCATCAGATTATCAGACTGCTCGTTTGCCGACCGATTACATAAAAAAATCCTTCGAAGAAAGTCAAAAAAAAAGTCAAAAATCATTTATTTCAATTAGACCACAGTAGGCACTTTTGAACGTCAAGCAAGCAAAAAAGAAAAAAGTATATAACATGAGCTTTAAAATTAAGCATGTCAGTCTGTCCGTCTGTCCTCTAGTGAAGCTATTTGCTCGTTCCAAAGTGTAGATTCCTATGGAGAAGAACGAGCAAGAAACTCCATGGTTACTCTTTTTCAATCAGTTTTACAATACATTTCTTTGTTACATCATTTAGTTGGTTCTGATATGTGAGAACAATGTAACACTAATGTTCAGGCAAAAGGTACGAAAAAGAAGTGAACCTCAAGGACAACATATTTAGACAGCCTGGAGATGACCAGTCCCAATAGGCGGCGCCCGTTCACGAACATGACACGTACACCAGCACCGCCCAACTCAACCATATTATAGGGAATTGGGCGATCCAGTGGCCGTGCCACCGCCAATGAGACCTCTAAGTGAGCATGACAGCTCCCAGCCGACACAAGTACCTATATTCTACAAGTCTTACTTAATTATAATAGGTTACAGGGTACTCACATTTACAAAAACTTAGAAGTTCATCAACAATTAACAACATAGTGTACAATTTAATAATTAAAATCAAAAATTCCTCTAAACATCCTGTGGAGTAGGACCAGCTAGCCTCCAAGCATTTTTATCTTGTATATAATCATTTAGTTTGTAGTATGCTAGTTTACATAAATGTTTCTTTATACATAATTTAAATTTGCTTTCATTTAGATTTTGAATTTCAACTGGGATTTTATTATAACATTTAACACAGAAACCCAGAAATGACTTATGCACTTTTGCCAATCTAAATAAAGGCTGACTCAATCTATTCCTATGTCTAGTATGATAATCATGTTTGTCAGATACCTTTACAAATAAGTGTAGGTTTTTCCTTACATACATAATGTTTTCATAAATAAAATTGACTCGGTACGGTCAGAATGTTGATCTCCTTAAACTTTTCTCTGAGAGATTCGCGACGACCTAAGTTATATATAGCTCTGACGGCACGCTTTTGCAAGATAAAAATAGACTCAACGTCGGATGCCTGTCCCCACAACAGAATTCCATACGACATGATGCTGTGAAAGTAGCTAAAGTACACTAGTCTTGCCGTGCCTACATCGGTTAGCTGTCGGATCTTCCAGACAGCATAAGCTGCAGAGCTCAATCGTCCTGCTAGAGACCTGATGTGGGGCCCCCATTGCAACTTCTCATCTACAGTGATCCCCAGGAAAGTAGTCTCTTTTACAAATTCTAGAAAAAGCCGTGTCTGTATCAAAAAACTAACAAATTCCTTTTTTGTAGGTTAAAATTGAAAGTGGAGAATACGATGCGTTGGCGCACAGTTTTTGACAAGGAAGGGAACGCGGTGAAGGAATCCAACGCTCGCATGGTGAAATGGTCGGACGGTAGTATGTCGCTACATCTCGGCTCTGAAATATTCGACGTTTATAAACAGCCTTTACACGTAAGTAGTTTTATCCTTACATTATTTTGTTATGGAATAGGTCGGCAAAAGAGTTTACAAATCGCTTGATGGAATGCAATCAGCGTTGTCCATGGGTACTCTCAACACCAGAGAAGGACCAAGTGTGGTGTCGGACTTTTCGGGGTTAAGGAATTAAGGATTGAGGACTTGGAGATGAGGGGTAGAGGAAGTGTTATTTTCTTTATGTATAAAGCGGGTTGGAGACCTAATTTCGGATGCTCTACCCACGAGTAATCCAGGGCTGTCGAGAAAAAGTTACAATGCAAGAAAATTCGTAATACTGCTCTTTCGTCTAATTTAGCCAGTGACAACCCATTGAAGATTAATTTTTACATTGGGTTAACACCATCTAGTTAACAAAATAACATAGCCTTCATTGAAATCATCATAATGTTTAAAAGTTCTGTCTTCTGTACTCAAAGGGCAAAAAGGACAACTATATTTTCCTACGACTCCACTGTCCCTTTCTCTGTACGCCACCGGGATGTATTTTATTATACGTGATAGTTAAACAGTTGGAATTTGGACTGATAGATAATGAATATAGTAACAACATACACTAAAATAAATCTTTACAAGCTTAACTAATATAACAAACGTAACTTTGGTAAGGAATCCTTCAGGCGCGAGCAACCCGGCTCGCGCTTAGGTTTTTATTAATTGCTAGCTAATCTCGCGCCGTTTCTCCCGCTGCTCGGCTCCATTTGATCGTAGCCTGATGTTTTATAGCCTATAGCACTTAGGAACATTGTATCTACCCATCAGTGAAAGAATTTTGGTAATCCGACCAGCGGTCCATAAAATTACCCCTTATATTAAAGCTTGTAAATTTTACCTCTTAATACTAGTATAGATTTTATCCAAAAATACGGAATATAATATATTTATCCAATATTATGAATATTAAATATAAACTATTTTATTCCGCAGGGCGATCACAACCATCTATTCGTCCGCCAAGGTACAGGGTTGCAAGGACAGGCTGTGTTCCGTACAAAGCTTTCCTTCAGGCCTCATTCCACCGAATCCTTCACTCACAGAAAGATGACTCTGTCTCTCGCTGACCGATCTACGAAGACTTCTGCTATTAAGATCCTGTCGCAAGTTGGAGCCGATCCTGATGCGGATAGGAAGTATCAATTGAAGGTATGTTATGGAACATTTGAGAGGTTCTTGTTGTTGAGTTGAGTTTTTGTAACTGGTTTTGACGTTAAATAAACCCGTTGAATGAACTCATTTAGAGTAAAGTGTTGTGAACAGTGGGTACGTTATAATAACCTAACTTAGTGAGTTTTACGAAGAGGAAAGAGTGAATTATGATAAAACACATGAATGTTAAAAAGCAAACAATAGATTTTTTTTATTATTCATATAGTTAGTCGCAGAACAAGCTGGATCTATGAATTAAATATTATTATGGTAGGCAAAAGGTCAATGTAAATAATATCTGTCTACTTATCAAAGTTATAATACGCATATAAATAAAATGAATGTTACAGAAAGAGGAGATGGAGCTCCGCGCAGCGATGCGGTCTCGTGCGTCGACGCGTCCCAAGCGCCGCGGGGGCGGAGCCCGGGCCGCCGCTGGAGGACAGCGCGACGACTCGGAAGACGAGGGCGGCGTCTCACTCGCCGCTATCAAGAACAAGTACAAACAGGGCCAGAAAGGTAACTACAGTCTGTATATTATGTAGATTTAATGGTCTGGCTCAATAGCCTATGTAAATATCTACAGTTTTACCTAGTAAAGATATTATATTTATAGATCATATGCAGCTTCCCAACTCCGTCTCATAATACAGAACTATTCTAAATATATTTATGTATAATATTTGCTGATATTTTGTTTCTTTACTGCATTTTATGTACTATTGCACCACTCGACAATTGTACTTCAAAAATTAATTATTTTGGTTATTCAGTACTTAGAATAAATTATTAATTATACTTTCATTCATAGATTTGATAATGTACCTTAATTTTAGATTTTTTCGAGCGAATTTTTCCCTAGTTTAGTTTTGGCACTGCCAGTTTTATAAATGACAATATGGCTCGCGAACAACTCGCTAGTGGTACATTTGTCAGATATGAACACACCTGAACTATGCAATTATGGACGATTATACTCGTATAAACTGTAAAGGTGGTTAGAAAGCCTACCACGTTATATATAAAATGAAATTTCTACGTTTTTTTGCAGCTTCAGCAGGCGCGGCGATATACTCATCTGAATCAGATGGTTCCGATGTGGAGACGCGTCGAGCTCGTCGTCTCGACCGGGCCAAGGCACTAAAAGACTCTGATGATGAAGGCAGTGACCATGCAGACCAGAACACACCTAGAAGAACCAGCAGCGCCAGCGGCTCTGGCAGTGGAAGTGGCAGCGAGTAACATTAAATTACCGAAACGATACACTTTTTAAATTGAAGGAAATTATCTACAATATCGCATGTTTAATAGAAAATAGAACTAACTCATAAAATATGGTATTTCGAAATTGAACCTTATTAATGAAACATAATTTTTGAGATTCAAATACCTGTTTTTTGTGTTAAGCTTCTTTTTTATTAAGCACACGATATGTACTTTGATGACATTTAACCTTGAAAGACTGGTTTGATAAAGAAAATTGATCCTTATTCTTACGACTTGAAGTTGGTCTAAAGAGATCGTGTCTGTACATAAGAATAGGATCATTATTCATAAACAAAGGAATCTTAACTTACCATTTGCTCTAAAGGTTTGATAAAATAACATCAATATTTCACCAGAATTGTGTTACAAGTCTCATGTAATAAGACACTAGCCTACTCACGTTGCAAAAGACACAAATATTACTTAATCCATACTCCAATTTAATGATTATTTAAACAATATCTTCGTAACGACTTTTTGAGGGGACAAATCATCAAATTACTTCTTTCGCCTACGGTGAGGCGAGAGGGATCGGCTCGACTGGAGTAATACCACGGCCTCACTGAAAACTGGCGTGAAACAACCACAGCGTTGTGTTTCGCCGTATGAGTGAGGTTACCGGAGGCCCAATCCTTCCCCTCCCCCAATCTCAAAATCTCCAAAATTATAATCCCTAAAAGGTCGGCAACGCACACGTAACTCCTTTGCTGCGGGTGTCCATGGGCGGCGTGATCGCTTACCATCAGGTAATCCGTCTGCTCGTTTGCCGACTTATTACATAAAAAAGGGAGTGCCAGACTTACTGACGAAAAAGCCTGCCTGAATATTAGCCCTGTTAGGCTAACACACCACTACTATATGAATGTTTGAGGCAATCAAAATGACTCTGAGTACGGAAGTTTAATTCTTAGTAGGTAGTCGTACCTACGTACGTATTTGCTCGGTCCCTCGGATGTAAAGTTTAGACAAAGCATAGTTTAAGATCATAAGAATTTCATGAAAGACTTCATATAATGAATGTAATATTTAGTAAATTTCTGACAAAACCAACTGTATTGCGTGACTTTTACGTTAGACACGTTAAAATTAAGTAAGTTGTAAATATAATTAGTTACTCAAATAATTGTTGTTGTTTTTATTCTCAAATGTTTGCTATGCCCGTTGTTCACTAGAGTCGCATAAGGACCCTAAGTAACAGTGTCGGCGTAAGGGCCATTGATACCCCGGGCGAAAATATTGTGGCGCCTACTTGTGGGAAGCAATTACCAAGTGTTAGCTCTATGCTGATCACAAGTAAAATTAAAAAAAAAATCTTAATGAAAAATATGCATATGCAAAGAGCGTAGAATACAGTTCTAGGGGTTTGCACCAGGAGAGGAAGAGACACCAACTTCAGGCCTTGGCGTCCTCAGAATTTGTAACCCTGAGCCATAGCACCATCATTCATTTCATTATAGTAATATTTGGAGGGACTTTTAAATAAATAAATATATACCCCTCGATTTTTACAATAATGTGAAGCTTATTTCTTTCGTTACAGGGATCAAATACCTACAAAAGTAAAAATTACCTATTTTTACCTAAAACAAAAATACCAAAAACTTACGTAAATGAAAATTTATTTTGTAAAAAAAATTAGATTACTACATTGATTTATTTCACAGGAGATTATGATTAATCCTAAAATTATTCACAAATTTCACGAATTGTCGGCGTAGAAACATAATTTTATTTTAATCCCGTTATTATATGGGGCAATTTATTATCCAGCGACTTCTCCCGCCTCGGGTGGGGCAAGATGGAGCGTTAAACTCTTACTGATCAAGAACTGCCCCGTTCCTTCTTTTATTCCGGGTCGGGACTAGCGTGTATTTATTGCATTTTGAATTATCAATCAAGTTAAATTATATTAATAATGTAACATTAAATTGTTTCGTACAATATCAAATTAATCAAAATACCGTAATGTTTTCTTTGTTTATTTCCAAACGAGCTTCCCCTTCGTAAACGATGTTGCCGACTGCGATTATAGTCCACGTTCCAGCATCGTACCTCGTTAGGTTGGGCACAGAAAACCCACAGGTAATGAATTCTATCTTATTTCTGTCGTAAAACCTGTCAAATGTTGACCGTGGTACTACTAATTCACAAGTTTGTAAAGAAGGTATTGGAAACGCTATGCTTAGGTTCAAAGTATCGCCTATACTTAAAACTGGTTTGGCGGGAATTACTGGCACGTATTCTGAAACAAATAATAATTTTAAAGTTTATTGTTGTCTGAATTGTAATAAAAACTTCTATTAATTTGTAAGTATAATAAAACTATGTTGAAAAAGCCTGAATGGCTGGGCCAATGTTGAAAAAATTGGCCGGCTCGACCGGGTTTATACCACGGCCCACAGAAAACCGGCGTGAAGTATCACTTAAGTTTTGTTTCGCCGTGTGAGTGATGTTACTGGGGGCTCAATCCTCCCCCCCCACCCTTAAATCCCTAATAGCCCACAAGAGGTCGACAACGCACTTGTTAAACTCCTTTGGTATTACGAGTCTCTATGGGCGGCGCTTGCTTGCCACCAGGTAATTAGTCTGCTCGTTTGCCGACTTAAAATAAATTTAATGGACTTACCAGTAATTGTAACACTTATAACTTGAAACATCTCAATCCAATCCCCATTTAAGTCTTTGGTATACACACTCAGTACCCAGTTCCCGTGGTCCTCACTACATAAGGGGCCAATCATGAACTCATTCGGCTCCATTTCTGACGCTTTTCTATCGAACACAAAGTTCGGTGGCAAATTGCTGTACACAGCAAAAACATCATAATTATCATTTTGAGTAATTGTCGCCTTCACATTATTAACATAACGTACAACGATGGGATTAACATCTCTTTCCAATTTCATATCTCGTAATTTTGGGGACTTTATGTCTAGTTTGATGACGTCACCATTTGGTCTGTGAAGGTAGTACAAGGCTTCTTCATTGATGACGGGTGCTGATATCCGAATGACGTCGTTTAAAAAGCCATTGATGTTCAATGGTGATAACTGCACCTTTGTTTTGGCTGTGAAAGAGAATTTTTAGTGATTTGATAGATTTTAAGAGGAAATTTCGCTCTATAGCTTTTCAACTGATCTAGATGCTTAGGCTTGTGATTCATAATCGGCCTATAAGTGCCCACTGCTGAACAAAGGCCTCTTCTGATACGGAAACGGTTTCTGTGCATTAATCACCACACCACATTTTCTCAGTGCGGATCAGTGACTTTATTAGGTATAGAAAGCCGGCGTGAAATAACCACAGCGTTGTGTATCGCCATGTGAGTGAGGTTACCGGAAACCCGATTCTTCCCCTCCCCCTTAAATCTCCAAATCCCTAATCACCACAAGGTCGGCAACGTGCTCGTAATTCCTCTGTCTGGGCGACACGACACGACTAGTCGTGTCTGGCCCATAAAATAACCATAGTGTTATTGAATGAGGTCGCAAACAAGCCAGCTAGTTAGGTACCTGATGGTAAGTAATCGTCCCCGCCCATAGACATCTGTGATCTGCAACACCAGGGCGTTGCTCCAACTAGTGCGTTTCCGTCCTTTTAGTAGTCGTTAAGGATTTGAACATGAGTCAGGTCTTAAGTAACCTCTTACACATCAAAAGCGGTTTCACGGTTTTCTATAAGGTTTTTTTTGTGTGATGGGAATACGTCAAATGACTTCTCCCGCCAGAGAAAACTCTTAATGACTTAGAATCCCTCCGTTCTTGCTCCTGCTCTAAGCCGAGGCCGCGGTTCCTTAATGCGCTTGCCATTTATCATAAGATATAATACATATGATATCCCTACACTCTTTAAACATACAAAATCAATATTCCATGCCTTCGATTTATTCACCTTAAATCTATCGATGAATCAGGATGCTTTTGCAATTTGGCTCTGAACGACAGTCTCTCTTTGCCATCCTGATTTCCGAGGGCAGCGCATTCCAAAATAAGATAGCCTGGACGAAAAAAGATGACTTGCTTTGTGTACCTACTTCTTTTTCACTGAGTGATAATTTCTGGCTACAAGGCGAGCAAGGGTAACTTAGCAAACCAGACCCGAGCGTACGGCGCCTAGCGAACCATCCTCATCATCAGCCTATAAGTGCCCACTGCTGAGTAAAGGCCTTTCACACGGAGAAGGTTTTGAGCATTAATCACCACATTTTCTCAACCCGGATTGGCGATTTCAAACTTATAATTAGAAATTACAAGTCCAGGTTTCCTCACGATATTTTCCTTTACATATCAATGCTGTGTAAACAATCATAGAAAGTACATATAACTCGGAAAAAGTCACATTGGTACTTGCCAGGTTTCGAACCCGCAACCTTATGCATGAGAAGCGGGCACCTTAACCTCCGGGCCACCACGACTTTTTTTTTAGCGAATCGCCCGGTCCTAAAAGACTAAAAGAGTTAACAGCACGAGGCCCAATACGGCAGGATGTTCAGCTTTTACCGCGGCCGAGGCCTGAAGCAGGAAAAGGAACGAAGGGAGTTTTAGATAGTAAGAGTCAGACACTCACTCTCGCCATAAGCCAAGAAAAAAGACGTTTGATGATTTTCCATCCTCAAAAAAGGCTATCATTTTGCTGGCAGCTAGCAAATCAACAATGTCGCTTTTGGAAACCATCAAAACGAAGCAATTTAATATATCTAACATTTTAAACTTTATTTACGTATCTAGTTTATAGGTGCGTATGTGAATCTAAGCTAACCGTACCTACATATAGTACCCGATTATGACATTAGTCGTAAAAAAAATTAATTGCTCCATTTTCGTTATCAGCTGGCACAAAGTATTTGTCCAGGTTTAAATTCGAGGACGCTGATTTCTTCTGATAACTACTTTTATAAGTATGTTTGTATTTACATTTCCTAACCGAGTTTTTATCTTTAGATAAAGATGCGACTCAAGTAAGTAAGTAGATATTTATATACATATAGACGCATGCAAATTTTTTTTGCTACATAATTTCCAATTTCCTCTTTAAACCTCAGTCAGGATCACACCCAGTAGATGCAACCATGAAAACGCCAACATATTGAAGGCACTGAAGGCAGACGCGACCTAGGAAAGTTAGCAAGTGTCTTGGAGTCCGCAACGAAATAAGAGAAGCTATTATGAGAGGAGGACAAAACGCATTGTTACACGTAAACCTGGTTTTCAACTTCACTACTTAAAGCAAAATCTAGCAAGCTTCTTTTGTCTTTTTTTTCAACCGCTTATAACTTCTCTGTCCAACATGAGACCGACGTCGTCACAAAAAGGTGGAAAAACATTGGAGCCTCTCCTCTGGAGAAGATGAAGACGATTTTCACAATCTTCTTGCTAAAACCACCTCAGTATCGGACCATATTCTTACCTACGCAACGCATTGGTAAACCATGACCTACATAAAAAGCATGGGACAGTTTGTCGCAAACCGCGGGAGCTAAAATGTATATTTTTGTGTTTATCTAAAATAAGCTGAGTACGTACAGTTCATCGACGTTTTCCTATAGGGCGACGGACGGCGTTGTTAATGGCGAATGCATATATGTATAAAGAAATAAGTTAAAAAAAATCTTTCAAATGAAAATTGGACAAACTGAGGAATTAATCAATAATAGCAATGGAAAGTAGGGAAGGTAGCTACTACAGCCACAAGAAAAGTACACGTAGGTTAAGGTTAAGAGACATAGAAAAAATAAATAAAACTAAGAGCAACTTTATAACAAAGATAGACCCATGGTCTAAATAAGTTGTGCCTCCCGCCATTCCTATGACCCTGTTAAATTTATTTGAGTAGAAATAAAATGAATAACTTCGCTAAATAAGTATAACAAACAATTAACGTAAAACATCAAATATGTACTTCCTTCCTCTTTCAATATCCAACATTAAAGCAAAAATGGTAATAATAATAATGCAAATTTGGCAACAAATAAAGTAGGTAGATACTATTAGTGAATTTAATCAAGCACCAATTATACGAGATTTTAAGTTTGCAAAGGAATTAAAAATTTACTCTTTTTCGGGAATGTTCTTATTGCAGTTTTCAGACCTTGATAAATTCGGGGTAACAAGTCAAGCGCAATACGGCACCGTGGCCTTGGCCTGGAGCAGAAGAAGGAAGGGGGACGGGGGACGGGGGGTTGTCAGTAAAAGTCTGATACTCCCTCTCGCCATACCCTAGGTAAGAGAAATCATTTGATAATTCTTTCTCTGCTCAAAAAGAAGACCTGGATATATTGCATATGAGTAGGAACAAAGTTAAATTTAAATCAGTTTTGTAGTTTCCATGATTCTGATGATTCCGTGCTAGATGCACGCTTCCATACTTAATTTATTTCACATATGTACCTACGTTTACCTATGTAGGTTAGGTACATAATATGTAGTTTTGTTACAGTGTATTTAAGAGTTCACAACTAATGTTATCGGTCACGTCTTATTAATAAGCCTGCTAACTTCCAATCACGATTTGCTTCGCGCCTTATTTACTTACAGCAACGAATCTTATTGTTAAGTGGTTTACTGAATCTGTGCGTGGTGATAGTTATATAGAATATCCCCCCCCCCCCCCCTACTCAATTCCCGAATCCCCTATCCTTAAAGCCCTTATAACCCAGCAGCAGAAAAAGGCCGGCAACGCACTAGAAGTCCTTTGGCATTACGAGTGTCCTTGGGCGGCGCCAATTGCTTACCATCAGGTAGTCGTGAGAGCAGGAGATCATGTGAAGCCACCCACGGGAAGTTTTGGAATATCGCCAAATGTATTTGTTATGGAGTAGGTCTGCACACGACCAGGCTTATTACCCGATGATGGTGGGCCATCAGCAATAATTGATCCTTTTAAACCGCAATCTCCCTTAACCTTGCCAAGTGTGGAGATTGTGGGCATGTTTGCCCCGCACATCAAAGCTTAGAAATGATCTTCCGGCGGCGGTATTCCCGAACCGATACGACCTTCAAACTTTCAAGAAACGAGCGTACTCCTTCTTAAAAAGCCGGCAATGCACCTGTGACTCCTCTGGTGTCCATGGGCCGATCGCTTACCATCAGGTGATCCGAAAAAATAAAAGAATAAAAAATAAATAAAAAAAAGTTGACTCTAGCGTGCTCTTGATGAACTGCATTTTGTTAGTACATACTCAATACCTATTTAGTTACTTTATTGATTCGACCCATTTACTGTTATACTATCTAATATTTGTTTTGAGTATCAGAAGTTGATTTTTTATAAGATAGCGCAGTTCTTTGTTTGATATAGTGCTCTGCGTTATCAAATAGATTTTTGTATAAATTCGAGTAAGTATAGGTGGTTTTACTTTAAGAGTTACTGGTACTGTACGAGTGTCAAATGCAGTTATTAACTCAGACAATTCAACAGATAATAAAGAGTAGTTTTTTTTGTAAAATATTTAATGTACACACAAAAAAAATATGTTCTCCGTGTAAAAAAACTAATCTCGTTTACTAATGAAACACACAACAGGTACCCAAAAACATGTTATATAAAAATCAAAAAAATTGAACGTACCTAACACTAAATAAAAAAAAAAAAAACAATTATAACACCATTTTTAATCTCAAATTCTTTTCTTGGAAGTTGGAAGTTACAGAATTACTTTTACCGATTAATCAACTAGACCATTCGAGCCTAACGGTTGGAATTGATAAAGTATACGTACCGTGTATGTTTTCATCTTTGATTTTGTTGATTCTAAGGCTGTGGGTGAATGGTGTAAGAGTAAGTGTCACTAACACATATGTCACAATTACCCTTCGACTGTTTAGGAGCGCGTTCATGTTACGCGCACACAACAGACACTGATAGTCGCCGACGCATTACTATTTCACTGATATAACTTCACTGTACACAGAAAGATAGATGTACCTAAAAGCATTTTTATATTCGTTTGTTTTATTGTTATTCGTTAATTTTACGGCCTTTTTCCTTTTCGATATCGCCTATTGGACGAGCAGTCGCAACCATGTCTGCGCGCAAAAGGTTTGCCGCTGAGTTTAGCCTCGAAGCAGGAAAAGTATAACAGTAACTATTGGGTTTCTACTGATTTTCGAACACATATAGGCTCTAAAATTTTGCATGTTGTATGACAACTACCTAGTCTATACGATGGACGTCTTATCTGAAGATATATATGTACATTAACAGGTTACATTGCGTTTGTGGAATGCGTTTCCATTGACAAATAAGATGTGCGCAGTCATAAGCAGTTCTAAAAAAATGGTGAATGATCACGACGGCTCAGTAACGTATCTATCTTCGCTATACTGTTGTATTGCATTAGTAGTATATCTTTTTGTGTATGTTATGGTGGCCCGGAGGTTAAGGCGCCTAATTCTCATTCATGAGGATGCGGGTTGGTTAGGCAAACCCTGGCAAGTACCAATGTGACTTTCAGACACCACGGACAAACGGTGAAGGAAAACATTGTGAGGAAACCTGGATTAATATTTTCTAATTATAAGTTTGAAATGGCCAATCCGCTTTGAGCAAACGTAGTGATTATTGCTCAAAACTTTTCCGTGTGAGAAGAGGCCTTTGCTCAGCAGTGGGCACTTATAGGCTTATGATAAAGATTATGATGATTTCTTTTACTTTTCCTTGTATATTTATTCTTTATATGTTTAAACATTTTGATGTATACGTGTATGTACGTTTTAGGTAAACTGACCGTATGAATAAAACTATTCAAGGGTTGTCTGGAAGAAATTCCTTTTCAGCGATAAAACTGCCAATTGTAGGGTCTTTTGTGTTTGTTGTTTCCTGTGTTTTTATTTATTATTATGGAACCTATACAATAAAGAATATTCTATCTATATATATCTATTGTGTGTATGTATGATTGATGTTCTGTAGTGCTAGCTATTGTCGCGTGGTTCCACCAGCTGCTTCCTTCCTATTGGTCGTAGAGATGTTTCCTTCCTCGATGAATGGACTATCCATCATAAAGATACTTGCTCATTTGGAACTAGTAGTTCCGGAGCGGTCAGATGGTTCACCCGTTGGTGAGCAATGTCGCTACCCATGCAAATCCGCAATATTGAGTATTTACTAGTGCATGGCCGGCCTTCCGCAGGTTGTTATATTTGAGGATTGCGCATTTAGGGTTATGTGGTGGAACGAGAGAAGAATTGCACATCTCCTGTGTAAGTAATCACTAGGAAAGTTAATAGTAAGTACACGATACACTACAAGATACACGCCAGTATTCTGTGAGGGCGTGGTATCACTCCAGTCTAGCCAGCTCTTTCGTGCCAAAGCATGGCTCACCCACACTTGTGTACATACCTGTGTAATTGTGTAGATGTTTCAAGTCGATGGGACTTTTATCACAGCTTTATTGTTGCATTCAGTGTATCTACGTAATATTTAGGTAAGTAATTGGTAGGTACCAATGCATTGTACAATCTAGAACAACCGTGCGTTTCAGTCATTTAAAATAGATATCTATATTTATTTTTGAAAATGGGAAACAACCACAATGTTGTATTTCGCCGTTTAACTGAGGTTATTGGAGGCACGATCCTTTAAATCTCCAAAAGGTCTGGAACGCACTCAACTCGTGTCCATACGAAACGCTGATTGTTTACCATTAAGTAATTGCGTCCTTGTCATCCTATGACATAAAAATAATAACAGCCCATACATAGGACATACTTATATTTTATCTGAAGTTCCTTAGTGCTTGGCTACTGGGCACATTTCGTTCTGTTTCTTGAGAAGGGCAGTTGCATCTAAAATTTCAGTAGGTACCTCAAGGATGCGGTTACCAAGCAGTCTAAACTACACAGCGTGGATGAAACTTGGCATTAGGGTATGCCACTTATGTAGGTAGGTGGAATGGGTCTCTTGAGTAGGATACTCATGAGAGATGCAGGTCTTTGTTCAGCAGTGCCCACCTACGACACCTGACTGTTTTTTTTTTTGTGAGGGGAAAATCATCATCATCGTCAAATGACTTCTCCCGCCCAGGACCGGGTGGGAGGGAGTATCAGACTCTTACTGACTTAAAACCCCCCTATTCCTTCTCCTGCTCTGGCCCGAGGTCGCGGTGCCTCATTGCGCTTACCCCGCAACCCCGGCTGAACATCAGCCCTATAGGGCCCCGTCTGTGGTGGTCTATTGGCTCTTTAAGGCGCGCGCGGAACGCTACGCGCCGTACGCTCTGGCCTGGTTCTGGTCGGGCGGCGAGCTGCCCTTACTCGCCGACCGCAGACCCGCGCTTACGGTGGCCGGGATCGTCCCTTGATATCTGACTGATGGTAATCATAAAATTGATTAAAGTAGTCAAGTAGGAGGAGTGTGGAATCCGTTTGGTTTGGACTATTTGTATATTTAATTCAGTAAGGCACAAATAAAACAAACTTTAGTTTAGCAAAATATTTTATAAAGCAACAACATTTTATATATACTTATATATTTTTTTTGTATCAGAACACGTCTCACTGAAGCCTCTTTTTCGCAAAAAGCTTTTGGTTTCCAATTCGGAACTATGAATTCGTAGGGAAGGTAGGAAAGGTTCTTGGAGGACGAAAATCTTCAAAATATAGCTTTTATACAAATTACTACTCTTAAACTTACGTCTTTTTAATATAGTTTATAGAGAAAGTGCAGTGTTGACTATCCACCTGGTGAAAGACGCGACGCGTGTGTTGATGCTTGGGAATGCGATGTCACCACAGCCTTGTGTACGAGAGAAAACACCAATCACGGCACCTTCTGAGTCCAACAGTGGACCACCGACATCACCCTGTAATGAAATATGACATAACATACAAAATTAAAATTAAACCAACGTGAGACCGAAGGCTCTTCCCCTGCCCCAATCCCAAAACTTCCGAATCACTAATCCCCAAGAGGTTTCGCAAGGCACTTGTAAATCCTCGTTATTGGACACCCCCATAGGCGGCGCTGATTACTTATCTTAGGTAATCTGCAGGCTCGCTTGCCGTCCTATCACATAAAAAAAACGAGCGGTCGTGGGTTTTAAACGTGGCAATTTTAATATTTTAATCTCGAGAAATCACATAATAACCAGCAGTGCTATTCTGTAATTGGTAAATCTCATCTCGAAAGTCACACACCACTTCGCTTCTCATCTCGCCTGTACAAAAACGTCAAAATATTCACTTGTTTCAGTTCCTTTCAAATCGTTATTCGCATACTGTGTAAAGTACGAAGCATTAAATAAACATGACTTCACCGTGGATTCAGAAGTGAATTCGCAAATTACCTTTTGAGAATAGCGTAGCTGGCAATATTGCGTTAAACTGACACAAATCACTGAACTGTTTACATACCGCACATTGTCCAACGGTGCCGACATCTTGGAGACCAGCACACACCATGTTCTCATTAACTGTAATTGCTGTTGATGCGAAGCTATTCTGACAGTTCTGCTGGTTGATCAACCACATCTGAACCTCTCGCAACTCTTCAGATGGCTCGGGTGATGTGTTCTTGAGAAGAAAAAAGGCAAGAATCAAAAATGTATATTGTAAAACACATTACCCGTTATGAAACGCGGAATGGTATTAAAACCTTTCTGACCATTCCAAGATTGACTTAGTTTGAAAATCTTGTTCAAAGAATTCGGTCGTTGCCTTGAGTTACTGTGCAGCTAAACATTTTAAAAACAAGAATTTTCGTCACTCTCACGACGATATATGTTTCTTCTTAGTTTTTATGCTTATTGAGTCGACGTTTGGGCACCAATACCAACTTAACTCGCAGAAGTAAGAGATGATGTAAACGACGATGGAGAGGAAGTTACATATTCCCTTGGGACTTGTGTTTTTTAAGTGTGGGAGAACCAAGCTCTGGCACGAATGGGTCGGCTCGACCGGAGTCCACCACAGTCTCACAGAAACAACCACAGCGCCGTGTTTTACCGTGTGCGTGAGGTTACCGGAGGCCGAATTCTTAATCCCCTCGCCCAATCCCAAAATCTCCTTTATTGAGACTACACTCCGAATCTCTAATCTCCAAAAGGCCGGCAACGAACTTGTAACTCCTCTGGTGTTGGTCCATTGACGTCGCCAATTGCTTACCATCCTATGACATGAAAAAGACTATTGAAGACAACCAGGTTGCACCCTTCTTCATGAACTTTACGAACGAAGTTTATGTACCTATTTGTCGATTACTTACAGTAACGCCCCATCCAATGGCCCAGACCATTTGGTTGGCGGTGTACGGGTAAGCAACGCCTGCGACTTTAGCAGGCGCTACATTCGCGTCGTAGCTGATTGCCAAGTTAGTCCTTAATATAGCCAGGTCGTTGACCTGAGTATTGTGCACGTAGCTCTCGTGCACTATGATTAGGTTGATTAAGTAGATCATTCCTCTGCTGTTAGCGTACGTCGACCCCACTCGAGCTCTCCACAATTCGGGTCCATTCAATCTGTAATACATTTTACGTGCCTTAGATCTTACAAATAGATAAAACAAAAAGGCCTAAGACAGGCTTAAGACGAAGAAAACTACAAACAAGTATTAATAATTCTTTTGTTCCATAAGCCCATCATTTCAAACTGTTCAACAATGGATACGAGTATGTCATGAAACTGAAAACGTGTTCGCGACACATAATACATGTTGAGATCAAAGTTGCTGAGAGCTCTTTGTCTAGTCAGTCACGACGGAAACAGACTCTTGACCTACAAATTACTGAAAAGCCCAGCAATGAATACAGATCCTTACAAATAGGTATTACAGATGCGCAAGTGTGTGAATTGTACCTCACATTCAGGTAGGATTTCAATGATGGACACTGTTTCTTGGTTAGCCAGATGGCGCTAAAATAGCATTACGTCTGTTTGTCAAATCACTTTAGGTCTCAAAAATTACACTAATTACAACAATTACTTTGACAGAAACTTTTTATCAATTCTTTCAACTTCTTTCAAAATTCTTTTGGTGCGTAACAAAAGACCTGGTGCACCTTGGGCGCGGGCTAAAGTCACCCTAACGGGATGGTGATAGGGTGAACTAACTTTTACTGTAGCTAACTTCTGGTCGGGTGGACAACCCAGTAGGCTTCTAGAGGCGGCAGGCTCCTGACTATATTTGAATATTGTCCAGTGGAGCCAAACCAAGCATTCT